TTACGGGGAGGTAATCATGATGTAGTTGAAGTGGTCTGTTTTATTAATGCCTATTAAATTAGTTAATTGCAGTTTGAAATCATTTACAGAGATCATAATGAAAATAAATGCAATGTAAATTATTTTAAGACATTTAGTTTAATGTTATATTTTAAATGTTTGCTGCAAAAACTTACAAAACATTATTGCAGTGGATATCTGTCATTTTCTCACACGTGCAAATTTAGTTCTTCTAAAATTATACAATTGTATATTCACATTGAATGTTATATATAACAATAGGTTTCTGGCTGATACTGTATATTACGGTCACCAGCCTGGCCTCTTCAGGTCCAGGAGCCAGGATCGCCCTTGTGATCAGCCCAGACACCACCCCTCCTCCAGAGTGCTCTCTCTCCCCCCCCCCCCCCCCCCCCCTCTCTCTCTCTCTCTCTCTCTCTCTCTCTCTCTCTCTCTCTTTTTCTCTCTCCCTCTCTGGGCCCCCTGAGGCCCACGGGCCCCGGTGCACTGCACAGATGAATCCTACGCCAGTGTGGTAGGTCCTAATAAATTTCCAGTAATTTTAAATAACCTAATGAATGGACTTTATTTTTTGTTTGAACAAACAGACAGTTTCATTGTGTTTCAAACTCAGTAGTTGCCATGCCTATACCACACCAAAACTGTCAACAGACAGAATTTCAATTTTGGGTGAACTTTCCCTTTAATGTTTTATCTCCACAATCAAAACAAGCCTGAAGGAGTTCAGCCATGTTGTGGAGTTGCTAATGCTAATGGTTAGCTTCCACTAGCTGAAATTTGCTCTGCTCTCTCCTGGTGGTAAAATAAACACCACCTGCTGTTGCAAGCCAAGAGGGTAAGTCCATGACTGCTAATTTTACAGTGTAGCTTTTTCTGACATGAGCGTTTCAGTCTTTTTTTTTCAGTGGCTGGAAATAGGGGTAGAAGACTAGTTTCAAATTCAGCCTGAATGTGAAACTCAAGACAGTCGTCTTTCATCAATAACAAGTAAAAATGGTTTCTCAGTGAACTTGGACTTTAAGATCTGGTGGAAACATAATTTGTGTTGTTAGTCACACATGTTGACTAAAAAAATTGGTTAAAGTTGGTTTTATGAACTTAAACTGGTTTAACTGGTAGTGTTGGTTGGTCCCTTCATTAGTTTGGACAAGATATTTAGTAACTTTGTTGTCTAATCTTTTTTCCACACGGAGACGCTCCCATACAGAAAACCACTGCATCATTTACCAGCCGGATCAGTCACTTCCCATCTCTCTACGTTCCTTTCCCTCGTCCTCTTTCACTACTCTTTGGTTGCCATGGGAATGAGAGGATCACACTGACCTAATTAGACAGCCATGCAGTGATGAAATATGCACAATGGGCTCCTTAGTGGATGTACAGTAGAGAGAGCAGGTCATTGCTAGCATCAGCATGGGGACAATCTAAAACAGCTTCCGCCTCTGATTTTTGAGAGGAACCGTATTTGATCCTGCTGTAAGTGACAGCTAGAATGACTGTGAGCACTTAACCAGGAAGATGGAGGAGGAAGAGCACTCCAGAGAGAATCAATTAAATGTGCAGCAGCAGGAAGATATTGCACGTGAAAAAAAGAGGACATACATGAGTCGGTTTGATTGGAGAAAAGGTGCATTGGGAGAATTTAAGTGATTTCAGTGACTGAGATTTAAAGGTAATCCCTCCTAATCTGTTAGCACAGTACACTCTGTTCAATCTAAACAAGGCAATACCACTCATGAGAGGTGAATTACCTAATGTACTCTGTTAGCCACACTATCATTTAATGGTGCATTGAGTTGTATGTGGAAAACAATCAACACTGACCACCTCAGACAGAATTCATGGAATTAGTGCCATTTGTTCTTTTCTGTTTAATAAAAATTCATAATTTTTGTAATGATATTTGAAAAGGTCAGGTTTATGATTTATGAGGCCTCATTAATGACACACAGTGTACTCTTTTATCATTATAGCTGGCTCTGCCTCTTAAAAGATTGCGTTGTTCTAAAACCTTCAAGCCTCCAAGTCAAAATGACGGAATTTGATTAAATGAAAAAATAATTTGAATGACACGGCGAAGTGAGATAACATGCAAAAAGCAATTTTTTTTCTTTTATCACCTTTATTACTCATCACAATAGGCAGCTTTATTGCACCTTTCTTTCTCCTGTTCAGCTGCCTTCATTTTTCCATCATCACTTATTGCTAACTCAGTTTTATAAAGGTGCAATTTTCAACCTACAAAAGCATGTGCTGTGTATGAATCCTTTCAGAGTGGACAAAATCATTTTACTTTCAGATTTTGACACTATCAATGTGAACTAGGAAATAACTACAGCTGAAAAGAATCAATAGATTGATTTAAATATGAATGAAATCAATGATACAGTTTGCAGGAGAATGATATCTTTTCATTTGCTATATTATAATGTTAGCTCATGGTCTTTTCCAGGACATCCATTAGCTAAATCAGCTGTTTGGTGCATTTATTGAGAAGTCAAGAGGCGATTTAGCACTCTGATACAGTGTTAGGGTTAGGGTATTAGGCATTAAATATTATGAATTTCCACCAGTGATGAATGAAACAATAAGTTGGCAAAAGTTCATTTTAGCTTTTTGTCATAGTTCTGAAAATGAATATAGGTTAATCTATTGAATGAACAAGGTCTAAAAGCAAACACGTTTTTTTTTCTAAAATACCTTCACTTAAATATGTGATGTGTCGTCTTTCACTGTCTTTTGCTCTGGTGTCTTACTTAAATAGTCTATGATGGTATCTGCTGTTTGATTTTGCATTACCACATAGTTTAACATTTCATTATCATATGTATAAATATTCCAACATAATGGCATGGCACATGGTTAAACATGATGTTTAAAGTAAAAATGTTTGATCGCTTTACTTAACATGTTGTGTCCCTCTTCTCCATTTTGATGAATAATGACAAATTAGTCTAATGTGCAGGAAGGAAGATAGGTTATCCGGATAAAAGGGAGCCGTGCAAGCATTCTAACTGAAAATCCTCAACAACTAACATTCCAACTGACACGTTTCTTAATGGTAAATGGTGAATGGTGATTTCTCGGGTTCTACAACCCCCCAAGGTGCTTTACAGCACATGCAGGCATTCATTCATTCACACACGCACGCGCACACACACACACACACACACACCTACACACCTACACACACACACACACACACACACACACACACACACACACACACACACACACACACACACACACACACACACACACACACACACACACACACACACACACACACAAGGACGCTGGTGGCAATGAGCTACAATGTAGCCCCAGCTGCCCTGGGGCGCACTGACAGAAGTGAGGCTGCTGTGCCACCGGTCCCTCCAACCATCACCAGCAGGTAAGGGGGGTTAAGTGTCTTGCTCAAGGACACAAAGACTGCAACAGACTGAGCAGGGCTCGTTTCTGCAGCCCTCTGGTTAGGAGATGGGCACTTAACACCTCTGCCACTGTGCTCCCCCTTAAGTGCAAAACAGTGATTCCCATGCAATCTGCAATCACAGACTTTTTATGGGGTTGCCAATGATGCCAGAGGTTGTGTGACGCTTTTGCCTAAGACGATGTGTAAATCTCACCCTTAAGTAACAAATAATTTACTGGATCAAATTAGACGGAGTTGGATGAGGAGATCCATGAGTTACTGCCTCTTCTGTTTTTATAAACTGAAAAGAAATGGTATGGACTTTGTAAGGGCTTAGTCTAGATTTGTTCAGAAACTGACTAATGAAATTTAAAACAGCATGTCTCAGACAAAATTTATCTTCTATGACAAGACAGAAGATTGGCTGTTTGACTGAAAGATCAAAAGATGTTCTTCACAAATTGAGTTTGAGAAATGTTAGACGAGACCACAACAGTTTCTGCTGAAGATGAAACAGGCCAGTGGCTCTGTGCATGTGTCATTAGGCACCTAGTCAGCACAGATTTCTACATCAATTATTTAGCTTACAAACGTGCTTTGGGAGGAAATTAGGTCTTGTTTTCCTGATTCTGAGGTACGCTTATCAAAGGAATTTTTTCCAACCTCATTGATATGGTACATGCAGGCTGTGAATTGGGGATGTGACTCCCCTACCTTTGAGGCCGATTTGATTCAAATCTTGATACACACACTGAAGCTACTGGTGCAGCCCCATTGCTAATGCCATGAACAGACCGCTGGTTCAGACCAGTGAATCTCTCCATCCCTACTGTGAATACAAACTCAATCATAGTGAAGCTGATAATGTCTGGCACAGCATAAAAACAATGTTGGATCATCAAACGACACGGAGTAAATGTTCAGAGTGTGTCAGCCTTTGAAGGCTTGATTAGACAGTAACAGCCACAGATTGTTGGTAGTTACAACTTTACGAGCTTCTATTTAAGACAAAGAAACACTGAAAACCCCTCATCTAAATCATCAAATGCTCTTTAACAAACGTATAACTTTAACATGACTGGTGTGTGTTATAACTTAGCTTAATTTCTAATATCTTTTGAAAATAACGCTCAAGTGTTGTAGTGCAGCTTTACCTGAGGTCTTTCTTATACAGACATGATGTACACAAATGTAATTTTCTATAACAAGCATGTAAATAAACAGATGCAGGACATTTTTATGTCAGCTGTTCTTTAAAATGATCCTTATTGCCCTGATCTTGCATACAATTACAAAAGCACACAAACCTATAGCTTATTTTGTGACAATATTTTTGTCTTGAACCAAAATGTCATTTTGTTGCATTTCCTGTCCTATTTTAGCTGGATTTAACTGGATTTTCATCCATGCACCATTTGCCCTAAATCCTGATCAGTTTGCTAGAAACAAACACACATACAGGAAACAGCCAGGACAGATCCTTAAGTAGTGTAGAAATCTGAATGAACAAGTTTTGTGTACGGGAATACAATTTGAGTCATTTCTGAGGGCATCTGTAACTTACCCCGATCACTGTCGTACAGATATGCAAACTTGTCCCACTTGTAGTACTCGATGAGACTGAGGAGGGGCCCCTTGATATCAGGTCGCATCTGTATAATGAACTGCTGATTTCCATCCAGAGGGAAGCTGGGCGTTATGAAGGAGACATGCAGTGTCCCACAAAATGATGTGATGGTGTTAACAGACTTCTTATCGTAGAATCCAAAGATGGCGTAGACTCCTCTTGAGAACTGTGAACAGACTGAACAGGAAAAAAATTAGATAAAGCAAGTTATTCTCATTTTGCTGCCTGGAGTGAAACGTTTATAGGAAATATTCTTTTTTTGAGACATTTCTTCATCTTTTGACAATTACCTGCAAACCTTCTAAAATCTGTGAAGAAACTTATGAAGACAAATGATAGGAATGCAGTATTAGAATAAGATGAGATGTTTTCAACAAAAAATTCAGCACACACACTAAAATGGTGTTTATGTTGTCATCAGACAGCACATTTGCTACACCTATTCATGCCATCTAATTTTAATTATTAATGTTGCCATAAACCTTTTAGTGCACGCATGAACGTGTTTATGGGTTTATATGAGTTTATTACTGCAGTCTTTTTGCTGACGTTGTGAAATATTTGAATTCAATAATTCATGACCTCAAATGTACATGGTACACCAACGTTTCTGGCCTTAAGCAATATGCAAAGAAAATAAAAAGCTACTGTGGGGTGAAAGTAGTAGTAAATGCTACTCCTTCCTTTGCCTCACTGGTGAAAAATGTGAACAGAAAATGGGAGTTTACAAAATGCGAGGGCTCTCAGTTTCATTGAAGAAGTTGTGGGTGTTTTCTGATTTGTCACAAAACGTTTGTACTTATTAAAACATTTGTTGATATAAAGTGTTGCTTTAGAATGCAGGAGTTAAAGGTATCATAGAAATGAACAATCACGGAAGTGAGAATGTAGAGACCAGCCTAGCTATTTTCACCTGGATTAGGGGTGGGGTATGGTGGAGTGTGAATCAGGGCGTAAGGCAAAGCGGATTAGAAAATAACTTTTATAGGCCCGTTTACTTGCGTTCATGTTTTTTTTCTTGGTCAGGGGACCCATGAAAGGGGAGAAAACTTAGGCTCCCTGTTAGAAAGCAGGCTGAAGACCGCACAGGCTTTTTGGTATGCTACATTAGACACCCCAAGGTGTGTGTGTTCAACAAGTAAATGGTAAATGTAATTTAAAATTCTAATTCACCTTTAAATTTTGCTGTTTTAACCACGGGAAACCAAACTAAGAAACATGGGTTTTCTGAGTTTTCAAAGTTCTAAAATACTTGTGATTTTCTAACTGTTATTTTTAATAAGAAAAACTCTTTGCTTTGTTGGTTTTGTGCAAATTTATAATCTAACACCAGCTCCTTGGGATCACACAATGAGGAAGCAGTAAGTGGATTAATGATGGAATGAATTTAATGTCACAGAATGTGTTAAATCAAAATTGAGATGGGTCCAAAAAATAAACAATAATGAACAAGAGTCTGCTTCTAGACCTGCAGAAAGAGACAAGAAAAAATAGCAAAAAAAAAAAAAAAAAAAAAAAAAACTGGGACGCAACAACAATACAACAAGATCAAGCTATCACTGCGTCAACTTGATGAAGAAATATATAATCAACATTGTTTAACTGAACAGTCACACGATAATACATCACAGTGCATTAAGTGCCCACCATAGTCTTAAGACCTGTGTTGAACGTGCTCAAGTCCATATGTATGAGAGCACCATGTGAGCACCTGTGTGTGTACACGCGCTTGTTTATGTGGTTTCTCTATAGGAGCGTCCAATAGAGAGTGTGAGGGACCACAGATCCGCCCCCCAAAGATGCGTAGGAGACGGGGAGAGCTCCAAGTCCCAGAGATCCAGGAGCTGCCCCAGAGCACATGCACCCCAAGGAGACTGCAACCAGAAAGGCCCCCGTCCCCCTCGAGAGGCACAGAGGATCGCCCCGGGGGGCCACAACCAGCAGCCGGCAGAGTCCCGGGAGACATCAGCGGCAAGCCCTCAGGCCCGCCCGCAGCCTCCCACCCCCTAGCCGGCCGAGCCCGTGCATAAGACACATTTTCGCCTAATTTATTTACTGACAACGCAAAAAAAATCTGGTAAGTATAACTCACTCAATCTGGAGATAAGTGAAGAAAATTTAGAAGGTTTACTAAATTATATTGACGAAGTTTTTGAGTTATTCGTTATGGGTCCGAAGAAATCAGCAGCTGAGCCTGAAACACCTGGGACCAAGAGGAGCCATCCTCAGGACTCGCCTGAGGCCTCATCTCCCCGTAAGGACATAATAGAATTATTAGATTCCATAGATAAACGGCTTCTGGGATTTGAGGAGCGACTTCATCTGCTTGAGGTTCTACACCAGAAGTTTCAGAACCTCTGTCAGTCTCTGGAGTTCAGCCAGGAGCAGGTGGAGCGGCTCGCCGCTGAGAACGCTTCTGCGGGAGTCCGTTTCTTCCCTGGAAGATGGAATGATGTGGATCACCCAGGACAACAAGATTCTGAAGGAGACTGTTTTGGACCTTCAGGCCCGTAGCATGAGGGATAATTTCGTGTCCGCAGGCCTGCCAGAGAAGACAGGAGGGACGGAGAACTGCAAGCAAACAATAAAAAACTTCTCCAGACCCAAATGAAGATACCCGAAGAAACGGTAAAAAAACATCACCTTTCACCGGGTACACCGCCTTGGAGCTAAAAGAGTGGACAGCAGAAGACCTCGTCCCATCGTGGATAAATTTGAACATTTTAAGCAGAAGGATATTGTTAAAAGCCACGGAAGAGAGGTCAAAGGGAAAGACTTCAGCGTAAATGACCAGTTCCCTAAGGCACATGTGTCAGACACAAGGCCCGCGGGCCAGATGCGGCCCGCGGAGCATTTTTATGTGGCCCGCGAGATAAATATCAAAAATATATTAAAACTGGCCCGCTGGCCGATTTTACCGCAAAGACTTCAACTCCCATGATGCTTTGCGGCATTAGCGCGGAGCCGACGCGCCCCCTCCTTTGTGTTTTTTCCAGCATCTGCTGCCGGTGTCTGCAGCTCCGCTGTCTTGGACAAACAAAACACTCCTCTCACTCAGCGTCGAGTTCACTCAGCTGTTTTCTGACGCTGAAGCCCAGAAACGAAGATTCTAGCTGCTCAGTAAAGTGTTCACGACTGAAAAAGTTTTCCAACTAACTTCCAGACAGAGCTGATATAACTCCAGCGAGCAGCGACACGCTCAAACCAGCACGACTCTGTGGCTGCTGTCGTTGTGTTTCCTCCCCGACACACCACAACGTGGTCAAGCTGCTCAGACACGTTCAGCAGCACAAACCTATGTGAGCACCTGTTGTCATCTAATGTTGTCATTATTATGATGAAGATGAACAAAACAACAGGAGTCTCCTCCTCAGCTCAGATCAACCCCATGATGCAGGCTGGGACGTAATTTTGGGGGGGGACGGGTGGGACATGTCCCCCCCACTTTTTCAAAAGGCAGTTTTGGTCCCCTGCACTTTTTTCCGTCCAAAAACAATGTTACGCTCCATTAAATGGATTTGGTTGAGCACTAGGACCGAAACGGAAACCGGTTTACTATTAGACCCGCCCAAAAGCTAATCTATTGGCTCTGCTGATACTTGCTAACGTATTATTGGCTGTTGCTGCTGTCACTCAAGTTGGAAACAGTCAGAACGTGCTCACGTTGTTTTGCTAGTTTGGAGCCGCTAGGGAACACCGGTACTGAGTCACATCGTCAACTAGACGCTGTGTAATATCAGCTCAGCTCAGCTTCCATTACATAACATTTGAATAAGTGTTCATTTGTGAGTCTTTGGTAGTTAGGCACAGCCAGGAGGCAGCATGTCAAGAAAACGAAAAGTGGATATAAGAGACTTCTTTCAAAGTCAAAACGTAAGTTGGAACATGTGACACCGCTGCATTAAGCTCAGACTCACCTCCTCCTTCACAAACATACTCAAAACTAACTTTTACAAACTCATCTCCTCCACATAACTGACTCCTCTGACACAATTTATTCGTATTATTATAATAATTATTTTTTTATTACTATTATCATCATAATTATTATTACTAGTAGTAGTAGTAGAAGTGTAACTTCAAAACTTTTATCATTTAACTTTATTGTAAACTTATCTATTGCAATGTATATGTTCACATTAAAAAGCTCTGAAAAATGAACAGTATCATCATCGTCAACAGATTTTTTTAAGCTTAATGTCAAAGATGTACACTTTTCATTAGATTTATCTTATTTTTTCCATTTATTTTTTGTGTGTTGAAATGCAACAACTGTTTAAACACTTTTAAGGGGAAAAACATATTTAATATGTTTTTATACACTCAAATGTTAGGGTGATGATCATGTGTAAAACATTAGTTCAGCATGTCCTCTAACACAGCAAATGAACAAACGGCCAGATCTCAGGAGGGACCGTTTATGTATAAATAATTTTTATACTTTTGACTAGGCCTGGGAATGTAACAAATTTTGCTGGACGATATTTTGTCCAACAAATTGTTGATGATAAACGATATTGTCAACATTATCTAGACCAAAATAACCACTAATATAATGTTAATATATCATAATAATGCAAGTACACCCTTTAAAATGCAACAAATAAACCTTCATTTAACATTGAAATGTCCAGAACCAGAACTTCTAAATGAATAAAAATAACAAACAAAAATTGAATAAAAAAGGAATCTCACTCCCTGTTAGAAAATGTTGCACCAAAAACAATAAAAAAGACCCAAAACAATAAATACAATGGCCTATCCATTGTCAACAGCCAAAACTGCACTTCAATAATGATAATAAATAAAAATAATAATAGAGTTGTACATTTTTTAACTTTGATATATATATATATATATATATATATATATATATATATATATATGAGGATGGAAAAATTATTGAGATGGGCACGTGACGTGTCAAGGGGTATTTACATAACACCCCCCACCCCAAATCCGCACAAGCCTGCTGTGTCCCCCCCACTTCTGAAATCAAAATTTCGTCCCTGGATGCAGGTATCTGGCTGGAACAGGTGAGCAGCACAGTAAACCAGTGGAGCAAACTGAGCTTTAAATATGTTGGTTTTATGCTCTTTTTCTGCTCCAAAACATGAAAGTTAACAGGTGAGATGTTGCATTTTCATTTAAGATAAAATGATATTTTTATTTTGTTG